TGAACAGTTAACTCTTGATTTTTTCGAAGGGTAATGTAAATGTCATAATTTTTATTTTACTATAATTTTATTGGAGTCTATTTTATTTACAATATTTTTTTGTGAATCACATGTGTAACAATGTTTGGAAAATAATTCCGGATAGGCAGTCTTCTTATATTTGGGTCCGGCTACTATTTGTATATTACGTAATTTCCGCCCAGCATCTTTGTACATCCAAACGTGAACGAAAGAACGACAAAACTTAGCGACTTGGTCAGGAGAACAAGGTAATTAGCAATTATGTATGCATCTTATATATGCTCATAGTAACGTTTAACGTCCTGATCTTGTTAGTTAATGTTTCTGATTTATATATTTATAACGATTACTCTGTATGTAGAGCATTTTTTGTACAAGCATGGCTAGGGTGGTTTTATACATGGCGCCATTTTGACCCACGTGTAGTGAAATTTTGATTGATAATTATTAGTCTCATAGCAGTATGTATTTTATATATCATATCAATTTAATGATTAAATAGAACTGATTAATTATGTAAATTATCGGTTGTTAGATTATTTGTTGTGCACATGGAATTTTGTGTGATTATGAACATAGAGTTATTGCCCTTTGTACGGTAATGTAAGGCAAGGCGCCAAGTTTGTTTACATGTTTTTAGTGAAGTAGCACAGTTGTATTTCCTGATTATTTAAGCTGTATGAATATTTCAAAAAACCATAAGGTACTGGAAAACTGGATCCGTCCGCAAAATGATCCGCTTCATTACTGTTACTACGAATATGGTTGCATGTCCGGAAATCCGAATGGAGTACGGTAGCCACAGTCGTCAAAATTATGGAATGCATTGTGAAAAAGTCCGCATGCATACAAGTATATTATACGAACATATATCAGTGTGCATGTAACTCAAGGAACCCAGGAAATATGTACTTTTAAGAAAATCATCAAACTGCGCGTGTTTTCAATGTTGTCAGATTTAAATTATCTCGTTTTCATTTGAATATTTATACCTGTTTTTAGTGAAATTCTGTGTATTGTTTTTATTTTTTGTTTAAAGCAGTTAATTAATGAGTTTACATGTATTTCTCTTTAAAATGATTTTCACGTAATTCAGGGATGGAGTCGATTACATTAAAAAGTAATAAATCAAATTACAATTACTTTGACTTTCTCTTCAATAAAATTACAGGCTTTATAAATCATGTAATTAATTGCTTTATAATTACTTTACAAAAACTAATTTATTAATTACAGTCAAGTACAATTACTTTTTTGTTCAATTACCCCGTATGTCACGTATGCATTTATAGAGTGAAGGGGGGGGGGGTAGATTCTCTGAGATTTCTCATGTTTCCTCTTGATATTGTGTACGGAAATTGAAAAAGAAATATTTAAAAACCATCGAATTCTGTCGGAAGTTATTGTACGGTAAATTGGAAGTAATTGTACGGCAAAGCTCCGCCCCCTAGAAGTTATAGTACGTTAGAATTCAGCCAAAAGTTTTCTATCTGATTTAAAGTATGGCCAACATCAAAAGAAAAAGTACCGCACCATGACACAAATAATATCTAAATAACTTTTTTATACAAATAAAAACAAATATACTGAGAGCTACAACTTCTATTTTAGTCTTTAAAAATTCTGTAAAATAACTGTTATCAAAACCTTCACGGGAAATATTTTTTCTCTTTTAAATCTCATTTCTGTTTTTATTTATTAAAAGATTCTGCAATTACCGCTGAAATGTTCATCATATGACCCGGAAAAATAAAGAAAGGGGGGGGGGGTTGACGAGTGACGTCTTTTATAAGTAACGAGAAAATGAAAACCTGTCTGGAAAATTAAATATTTTGAGGAAGATTAAGATTTTAAACGTTTTAATAATGTGATAAGAATTTAACAAATCACACGACAGAATCATTTTAAAAACAAAATAAAAGGAAATAACTATTGAAAAAATATGGGAATTCAACTAAGAATATTTGCGTAAATATTATGGCGATAAAAAAAACAACAACCATTTTTGCAATAAAACGCTACATACACCGTGTAAATATTTATCTTCAAAACCACGTCTTTTAAGCACGTAATCGCAAGTGCGCTGTGGGGAAAAGGATAACGTCATCAAAAAGTAACAAATGTAATGCTACTATTACGTCACAGACGGCGCAAGAGGCAAAGAGTTAATTGTCCATCTCTATGAATAAGTTTATATCAGTACATTGCAGTATGGCTTAGCAACAAGGAATATTACGCCTCTATGGCACCTGATCCAATCTCTAATCTTTTTAAAAGTTTGTGTTCAATGTGTTTTGAGATTGACTAATGTTCTTAAACTGATCTTTTTAAAAATTGTTTTCAATGTTATTTGTACAAAATCTAGGTACATATAACCCTTAAGAATATAACATCATCAAATGCAGAATTACGTAAGGTTTCTTCTCATAATACAAAATACTTTTATCAAATTTAACAGCTTAAAACTTAAAACTTTCAACTTTTCCCAACCATTCCTCACGAAAAATTAAAGCCCAGGCTTATCGATATCATTGACAGCTGTTTTTTCAATAAAAACTCGTAAAGTTACTAACCTGGTCATTGGTCATTTGCAAAATTATTTTGTTAAAGCACTTCAGATCGCACACACACAAGAAGTCTGAAGTTGACATCAAAAAGGTGCTTAAGATTCTGATTGACAATATCTATGTGGTTTTTGGAGACTAGGTCTTCAATAATCTATTGGAAATCCAAATGGTTCCAATTTCGTTTCGTTATTAGCAAACCTATTTCTGTATCAATATGGAGCAGAAGTTGTGCAAAATCTTATACACGAAAAAAAGAAAATACTTGCTGTGGCCTTCAACATTAAGATATATCGATGACGTATTGTCAACTAACAGTGATAATTTCCATTCCAATGTCGATACAATATATCCTGGTGAACTTGAGATAAAAGATACTATAGAGTCCGACACTTCTGTTTCATAGATATTTACTTGAAAAAGACGTAAATGGTAATCGAACAACCAAGCTCTATGATAAACGTGATGACTTAACCTTTTCTATCGCCAACTTCCCTTATTTCTTCTGCAATATACCTTCATCACCTGCATACGGAGTTTATATCTCAAAGCTGATTCGATACGCAAGAGCAATCTCTACACATGAACAATTTCTAAAACGAGGTAAATTATTGCCATACAAGTTGACACAACAAGAATACAGTAGTCTCGTTTTGTTTTCTGAGCAATTTACAAAGGCATAATTTTTAATCCATGTTAAAAAGTCTTGATATTGAAAAGTATATTTCATAGACATGTATTTTGATATGTTTGGTATGTTGTGAAGAAATAACTAGGAAAAAATGGTTTGCCTGAATATTTAAAGCGAAAGAGAGTCAAATTAGAGCGGTAGATTATTACTTAATTTTATCGCCTCATCCAAAAAAACATAAACGTGCATAGGACGTAATATTTCATTATTTGTTAAGACAATTGCGTCGAAATGTGAAAAACCCATTTCTATCAAGTGAGCCAATGTCACGTACGAAAATGAATAGTTAACATTTCATGGCCGAAAAAAACTTTTCTTTTGCTTGTCAAGGAATATTTAAGAGTTGAAAGTACCCACAACTGAAAAAAAATATAGCTACCCCCTCCCCCCACTTAAATGGGCCCGCCCTTATTGAGTAAAAATATACTAGTACTCATACGGTTTCAGTTTCAAATAAATTTTGTCAAAATTGTAATGGAACTTGTATTTTGCACAGAAAGGTCAAGCAGCGTTTAATGTGAATACATAAAAAAGAGACAAGGACAACACAATTCATCATCTTTTGTTAAATAATATTATATTCATAAATCATTTTTAGATCATAGTAGAGGTCCGTGTAAAAAATATACGAATTTTGTGTTCAAGTGAAACAGGACACAGGTGCCTCAAAATTTAAAAAAAAAGGTGAATGTGCAGAAATATTTGTAATCGCCTCGCTTTGCGCGCGGTGTCCTTCTGGGATTCTTTCTCTCTCTCTCTTCTTAAATTTCTTTGAATGTTTAAGTGTAACAAATGTTTTATGTATATTTTTTTAATTGAGTTAGATTATTTCATATAAGAAGAATAATTTGTTTGTTTTTAAACAAGTATCATTATTCCCTTCTGATTATATCATAAACCGTCCCAAGATTTTGTCTAGACTCACTTCCCTCCTTTACGAAATACAGTAACTAGATCTGCTCTAAAATGGTATGAAAATAGTAATAACAAAAGAAATCACGTAGGAACAATTTATTATTAGTCGCTTCGAAGAAAAAAATGAATATTTAATTCAATATTTTTTTTCAAGTTTATAATCGTCAAATCGATTGAGTAATAAATAATCTGTAATTTTAAGAATTTTTGGAAACCGAATTAGATGCAGGCGGCTTCATTACGTTTTCAGTGAGTAACGTCAAAGTTGTTTTGATTTGCTTTACAAAAATGCTCATAGGATACTGAAAAAGGTGAAATATTTTCAAACTTTATTTATATTTAATTATATCATAATTTACCAGAAGTTTTTTATTTATGAAAATTTGACCTAAAAGGTCCTTCTCTCTTGACGGCAGTCATACATATTTCAGATGTAAAGTCAAATTTTTAAGATTAAGATATAATACATGTAGTTTTTCAAGACTACACATTTTAACTTCATTATTTTATAAAAGTATAATTCTTTAATGAAAAACTGAGGGAAACATTACTTATAACTATTAAACAAAATGTATTGTACAACTATGGATGTATACTTCTCCAAGCTCGAGACACCTCATCCTATCTTTGGAATTTTGAGGGCTCCATATCATATACCTTGTTTACAGATTTGTATTGTCTGTAAAATTTTATATGGGATCGATAACTGCTCGTTATCTCTACGTTGTTGTTTTTTTTTTTCAATAGAGTAATAGTTACGTATTTGATGATCCTGTGTATTAAGGTATCTTTTACGGTATTACAATTACCTGTCAGAGAGTCCTGTCTGGTTATGTATCTGTAAGCACAAACTTCGTTGTTAAATGATCCTACCCAAAGAAGGTGACTTTTGTTGTCATAACTCAGGCTGTTTGGTGAAATTAACCCTGTTAGAACCAGGGACAGAAAGTAGCCATCCTTATCAATCATCTGTACAGTGTGGGTTTTAGAATCACACAGCAGGATGTGTGACAGCGCATCTGTACAAATACCTAGTGGTCCAAGTTTTGATCCCGAAGGAGGGCCTTCGTAGGAGAAGCGATGTTTTCCTCTACCATCTGTCACAACTAAGCGGCCAGTTTCAGACTTAATTATTTCTCCACATTCTGAAATTTCTACATCATGAGAGAACTCGTCAGACACAATAATATCTCCATTGTGGTTCTCTGTGATGAAAAGAGGATAACTATACAGTTCCTGACCTGTGTTGTTTTTTTGTATTGTCTGTATGTAGTATCCCCCACTATTATAACGGTTTATCATGCCTGTATTTATGTAATCCCACGTCCCAACCAGAATGTCTCCATTTGAAGGGGAGCAGTAGACACAGAGTGGCATCCAAAAGTACATGAATGTATTCATTATCAGTGTAGACTTTGATCTGTTATCTGAAGATAATTTGTTTATGTTACGATATTTGTCTATATAAATAAGATCACCTGCAATGTTCACTGTGTGTACTCCCCAACCACTACTTATATCTGTCAGATGATGTAATTCGTCACCGTCTGTGTTTGTCAGGGTGAGATTGCTACCATCACTCACCCACATCCGGTCTGATGACACAAAAGAAATATGTCTGGCACCAAAAACACCTGTGACAGTAATGATTTTGTTTAACATTGGTTTAGACATCAGTTTCAGTACACATTCATCTCTCACTTGTCTTTTTCCAGTCTCTATGATTTGAATTTCACTCAAAAGCTCGGGTACATCCTCCAAGTTGCTTTCTTCTTTAAGAGAGTAACGGGCAAGTTGTGTAAGATTAGGAGTGTCTTTTAGGATGGGGACTTCGATATTCTTAATGAAAAAGAGGAATTTGAAGGGTCTATTTGCTGACTCTTCATAGCTGTGTTCATAGTTCTCTATGCTCGCAAGGTGACTGTTCATTTGTTTGATCTGTTGTTGAATCATTAAACTTATAAGTCTGATTTTAACATCACATATGACAGTGTCGATGAGTCCCTTTAGTCTATGCGCTTTGGCTGACATCTCTGATTGAAAGTTGGAGATTTCTGTGTGACGAGTTTTTAAATCAGTGTTGATTCTAGATAGGAGAAAACAACAGTTATAGAGAGTATTAAATCTGATGTTTTGGATGATTCCTTTGTGTTGTTGACGTTTTCTTTCATAAGCTGTTCTGATGTCCAGTATTTTGTGTTTTCTGTGTTTTTTCCACTGGAGAAAAGAAGGAAAAATTTTGGGATTTCTGTGTTCTCCACATTTGGCACAAAAGGGAAGTTCGCATGAATAACAGTACTTTTCAAAGATCATATCTGGATGTCTCACACAAGTCTCCCGTTTTAAACTCTTTTTGTATTTCTCACGGTAAATCACAAGATCATGGTATACAGTATCGAGATCAATAACATGTTTCTCTTTACACTGTAGACACAGGTCATGTTTACACGTGTTACAGTAGAATTCTGTGTTCCCCTTACATTCAGAGCACTGTCGTACATTACACTGTATTGCATAGCCTCTTTTGCTATACTTTGTTCGATAAAACACCACTTTATGGGTATTGGTAACATGTCTCTCTTTACACTGTAGACATAGGTCATATTTACACGTGTTACAGTAGAATTCTGTGTCCCCCTGACATTGAAAACACTGTCGTACTTTACTCTGGGTACTGGATCCTTTCAGGTCCATAATTTGTTTGTAAGACTTTGATAAAACAATAACCTGAAATTATGATATAAATTATATATTATACAAAAAGAAATAAAAAATAAAATCTATACTTACTTTTGATTACCGATAGAATAAATGAAAAGGAATTAATTTTGAATACCTCTTTATTCACTTTTGTACAGAATTGTTGTCATCTCCCTCGGGAGATGACACATTAAGATTGTATGCCGGAAGTGAAGTCCTAGTATAAGCCTCCATTAATCTTTCGGGAGTCCTCGATGTTTTACAGAGTTCCAAGTAGCCTGTAAACTGGTTTTCTTTAAGAAGAACTAGCTTGGGAGTGTGTGATCTACTTTCGGTTTAGGTCTATTTGAAAGCCAAGGAAAATTTAGAAAAGAAGTACGATGCTTATAAATATCTATAGTTTCGGTGTGTAGTATATATATTGATCCTCAATACTATGCCTTATTAAATTTGTAAGGCACACAAGGAGAATTGACAATGACGTGATTTCTATATATAGATTTGTTGACGCAAAGGGAAAACTGGTTGTCGCACAAAAGAACAAGCTTACAATTAGATTCTGCAAAAAATGAAAGAAGAGTGGTCAACGCTAATTTTATGTTATTTTTTTAGTCTGTAATTGGATTTATTAAATTAATTCCTGTCAAACTTTAATGAAGAGCTGCTTTTAAATGAATGATAATTAGTGTTGATAATTTCGTATTGTGTTAAGAAAATATAGTTCAAGGAAAGTATTTGAATTTAAGTAAATTGTTAACACACAGAAGCACAAAGACCGCTAGAATGAAATTTCACCAAAATCGCCTTGGTTGCTCTCGCAGACGTCCATGCTTTCAATATAATATATACTGAGGCCAAAAGAAACTGCGTACTTTACGGTGGAGTTTGCTGAATAAGTCATTTGGGAACTTCAGGTGTTATAATCCATATATTCATTGCATTAAAATATTTCCCTTTCTGTTTTATTTCTTTGACATTATTGATACCAAAGAGATGACATTTCAGGCTTTCTGGAAAGCCAAACTTGTTACTCTTACGACTGTATCTTGCATGTTTTTCATGGTTGAAAGAATTGTAGTGTCTTCTGGGTGCAATGATTTGGATCAGTCCGAGTGATGTATAAAAATGATCAGATTTATTTTACAAGAAAAGTAATTACCAAAATGATTTATAAACAACGAGTCAATAGATACATGTATTCCTAGGTTATCTATCCCCTTTATATAAAACAAATAAAAAACAATAGAATGTTGGACCGGGCTATGTCCTGAGTATCTGTCCGGAGTATGATTCTCAGGGATGTGTCACTATACGGCTGTCTCCTCTATCTGACACAGGCTGTATCAAGGTATTAAAAAACACCGCTTGTATTTAACTACAGTAAATATACCACTGTTTGCCAAGCTAGTAAAACAAATCAACACTGGGCAGTTGTATTAACACTGTTTAACTTTTTATTGTCTCTACCTGTTCCTGCTCTCTCGACAGCCAAACGCAGAATGACCAACTACCTCGGATGCGCTCTTATATATAATTGAGCGAAATCTGTACTATTCTCGGCTTTCACTATAAACCTAATTATGAAACCCGTTTATGACTGAATCCCGAGCGTGATCGTCACAGAATTTTATAAAAACACTTGCCTATTATATAGATTTTTGAGCCTAACCACAGTCATCATTGATCAATTCCATTTTTTCTATACGCAATATTTTCCTTACTAAATACTATTTAATAGAATAAAAATACAACGGCTCCGTAAAGGAATTTAAAGAACATATCTTTTAATCAAAACATGTTTTGACTTTGATGAAAATTAGGTCACTTCCTTTTCGCACAGTTTCTGTTTCGCACGGCATTAACAGTGTTGTGTTTGCAAGTAAGAATAGGATAAGAATAGGCGTTTCTATGCAAAAGAGCTAATAAAAAAAGCAAAAGAGTATATATATTTATTATATAGAAAAAGCTTAAATTCATGTTCGTATTTATATTTATTTACCAATGCATGTAAAAAGTGCACATTTGTGACGTCATTTTATGACGCTATTGTTCTTTAGTACTCAAAGAAATAATAATAATTAAAAAAACCAAAGAGCAGCTTTGCCGCAAGGGGCATATCCTATTCAATTTTAGGTAAATAATATATAATTCTACGAAAAATGTTCCAAAGATTAATAAAAGTGCTGCATAAATCCCATGTACTTTCTAGTTTGATAAAATATGAGGAAACCTACACTGGACTGAAAAATTTTACTCCGTTTCAGATCAAAACTTTAGAAAAAGTAGCTAAACAATTGATCTGTCGACATTTGTTATATCTCAGCAAGATCACATGTATGTTTGATACGTGTTCCATGTATCATGTAGGTATTTAGATATTCATCTGCATTTTTATGGAACAGACTATCACAAAATGTTCGAAATTCTAGGTCAGTGGATTTTTTTGAATCTGTGTATCTCACTAAGTATTTTAACAGACTCAATGCTTAAAATGGATTTTCCCCCAATGTTTGAGTGTATAAAAGATATGCTTCTTCATGTTAATATATGTATATGCTGTACTTTTATATCTTGTGTTTATATTAAGATGTTAATTTTGTATATCCTTATGTGATTGTAAATATGTTTTAATGCAGGGCCACAATAAAAAGTAGTTTTATACTAATTGTGTTGTCCTGGATAAATAAAGGTTATTATTATTATTAATATCATGTTTCAGGTAAGCGTATCAATGTTATTGAAAATAAAATTACATAGCAATCTTATCAATACGCTAGATTGGGTGGAGAAAAGCAAGTTAACAATAAATCTTTAAAACAAAACTCATTGTATGTTAATTGGTACGGAAGTAAGAGGAAGTAATTCTGTAGGAATTTATCCATTAAAGTGGGTAGTATTGTGATTGAAAATGCATCTTGTGCAAAACTACTTGGTGTTTACATTGACAGGTGTCTTACATTGTCTGAACATGTTGAAATATTAACGAAAAAAAATTGCTTCCAAATTAAAATAGGTGTTATATCTAGATTAAGATCATCCATGTCCTCTGCAATATGAAAAACCTGCATGATTTACTCCAGATTATTTAGATGTTTTAAAATATGTACCTGAATTAAACAGAAGATCTACAAGACTGAGTTAAAGCAATTCATTTTATATATCGAGGAAAAAAACAGAATATTACAAGTCTTTTAGAATTTACGGTTCCCAAATATGGAATGAATTGCAAGAATTTTTAAAGAGTTTTCCATCATAACAAAGTTTTAATTCGCAAATATTAGAACTATTTCCAGTCTACAAACTAAATGTAAATCCCTTAGATTATGTTTCTGATTTTTTTACACGCAAGTTTGACATTACATGTGTAAATATTAATTTTATACTCTACTTACTTTATCTTTATATATTTTTGTACTAATTTTCTGACTGTATAAATGTTCTCAGGACCACAATCTAAACTGGTCGTAAACTGATTGTGCAATCCTGCATAAAGGACATTATAAGTATAAATATTATTACTTTTATTTTTATTATTAATATTATCACAAATCCATTTCATAGAAACGACTATGTAATTAGCCTTAACTCACTTGTGTTACTTTATCCCTGAAAAAGTTCGTTAAAGTCCACTGTTTACTCTAATTTTTAAGTAAATTTGATTTAAAACTTATTTCGTTGCGGTTTGGTTATATTTTATAGTAAATGAGACCAAGAAAAACATACATGTACCCAGATTCATTATACAGTTTGCTCGTTGGCCATACCTTAATTCAAATTTTGTTATATCAGTTATCCACGTTCAATCAAGGGTGTACGGAGATTTACCCCAGAATTTATTCTCCATGGTAAATTCCTGACCACCTGTTCTTGACTTTTAACAAACAAAATACTTTGTAAATCCAAGACCAATATATTGTTTTCCCAGGTCAAAGTGGATGCAGTTATCTGAGTGGTTAATAAACAGTTTCTAAACTTTCTCCGCACTCCTTATGGCATGTTAGACGCACAATAAACCTTTGCATTAATTGACACTTTTCTAAGCCTTAAGAAGAATCATTACACCCACAGATTTCAAATAACAAAATGGAGGTTATGATATCAAAGATATTTTTTAGTGAATTTTTCTAACTTTTTGATGATTTTATTTAAAAGTTTTTCATTGTCAAATAATGGCAATCTTCCTTAAACATTTTTACAAATTGACGTTTAAAGAAACGAAAGTTCCAATTAAAAAATGTTTATTTAAATTTTGATTAAAAAAAGTCCAATTGCAAGAGTTTTTTTTTCCAAATTGTTGAATAGAATTTAGTATGTGACTCTTAAAAGGTGCTGGCAATTTATAAAAGAAAATTGATTCAGCGTAATCATGCTGCTAAAGAAACTTTTAACAGCATGTTTTACTGTACGCAGTTATCAAACAGTATTTTCAAGTAGTTCAGGCAGTTTGATTTTTACTGTACTTTTATTACTGATAATGCCTGGGGAGTAAAGAGCTTGAGTTAATTAGGCAGTTTTCTAATAGCGAATACGCTTATTTAACAAATTAGCAACCATGTTAAAAAGTTCTCTTGAACATGAACTTTGTTGGCCACGTGTTGAAATCCTGTGAAGCCCAAAGGGCTTCCTCGAAGATTTGATACCGTACCAATCATGTTCGTTTCCCAGTGACTCTTAAAACATTGTTGTTTTTACTTACATTTGAGACGAACGTTCCGAGTAAAACTACGTGTAGTACATGAAGGGGCAGGCGTATTGCTTTGTTGTCACACTGACCTAAAAGTTGTTTGGTCTTGAAAGTTTGCCTTGCTCTAACATTTGAATAACTACAGTACCGACCAGACCCAACGTGTCTTAAGCAGTCCCACAGCAGTCCAAGAGCAGTCCCACAGCAGTCCCAGCAGTCCCAGAAAGCAGTCCCAGTGAGCGGGGTTTATTACTTTAATGGGCGGAGCAATGGAACTATAAAAGGCAGTAGACATTGATTCTGGGTAGTATGCCAGGAACCCTTACATGTATGCGAAGGTCATTTATGAACAGTTCGTGCATAGAAACAAATTGAATTAATATTTGTTGAAGGAAGAAGGCTTTCACGCACAGGATGAAAAGCCAGGTTTCCCAAATTTGGAAACCCGATGGAAACATATGGGAATCGTGACATCAGTAGTGTTCATATAGTTTCCATTTTATGGAAACCACATAGTGGTTTCCACGTAGATTCCCGACATGGAAACAATCAACCTGTGGTTTCCCGTAAGTTTCCCAAGATAGGAAACCATGGAAACATACCCCGGTGGTTTCCACATAGATTCCCGATATGGAAACAATCAACCTGTGGTTTCCCGTAAGTTTCCCAAGATAGGAAACCATGGAAACATACCCCGGTGGTTTCCATGTAGATTCCCGATATGGAAGCAACCAACCTGTGGTTTCCCGTAAGTTTCCCAAGATAGGAAACCATGTAAACATGCCTCAGTGGTTTCCATACAGATTCCCGACATGGAAGCCACCAATGTGTAGTTTCCCCATGTTTCCCAGGCAGGGAAGCTTTGAAAGTATATCTCAATGCTAACCCACCTACCTTTTATTTTACAAAAAGTTAAATATATTTAATTATGTTACCATATTTTTACCAATGATAGAAATATTTCAAAAGTGTTTACATGCTGTATCAAAATAATTAACTTCAAACAGTTAAAATAACTAGATGTGCATTTCTGTTTGATTAATTTAATATTTCAGCACCGTGAACGCAATTCAATTTTAATTTAATTTTATTTTACTGAATTTTATTTAATTTAAATTAATTTTGAATTTGATTTATCACATAAGTTTTGGTAAACTCGTATAGAATGCGTGAAGTGGAATAGAAAAAAGTAAGTGCATGCAGTTATGTAGAAATCAATCATTTCCGATCCCACTTTCTTGAAGCTGTCTATGATGAATGTTCCTTTGAAAAAATGGAAGAGCTAAGGAAGGGTACATTTAATGAAATTATTTACAGGAAAGGTTTACTAAAAAGATGGATTAAAAAGTAAATAAAGAAATATGTCAAGTTACGATTACTGATTAAGGACAGGTGAGACGTTCCTCAATAAAATAATTAAATTTTTTTCCAGTATTTTGCAACTGACATTGAAGAATTATTTTTACATAATTACATGTATTCAAAGACATCAAGGTACCTTACCAAGCATTTGTGTTAGATACCAGAGGTTGGCATTTCTAATATACCGGGGTAATCCGTCAGGAAAAAAATACTTCAGTTGGTTTGTCAAAATTACATTTTTAGTGTTTCAAGTTTTTAAATACAAGTTTAGAAAGTGATAAAGATTTTGTTTTAATATGAATTAATATATTAATAATATAAACTGGTCAGATAAGAATCAATCATCGAATTGGCTGGGGGTTGAGTATTATCATGCTAGTATTTTACTATTAATAGTGAATATTGTTTTTTTTACTTTATAAAATTATTATTTTTATTATTGGGGGTGGGTGGGTTGCTTTTCATTTTTTCCTTGAGAAGCCCCCCCCCCCCCCCAAAAAAAAAAAAACGCTTTTGAAAAAGTCACTATGGTCGGCCTGTGTAATTAGGGACACCTGTCCTCACGTGCCATTTCAGGTGGAGACACGTGCCGCGAAGACACCTGTCACTGTGTATTTTTTGTATATTCTATGTGAATTGAGACGGTTTTGTACCTAAAGGGAACAATGGGCTGTTGTCGAGCATGTACACACACAGTCTCCGACCGAAAATTCTTTTAAATTAAGATGATGATTCGTGTTTCTTTTATCATTTAAAAAAGTGTATATTCCATAAATAAAGTTATTCAAGAGAACATATTTATAAAATAACCTACAATGAAAGAACAAATTATTTAGAATTTTTATTTCAATTTTCATTACTGATTTAAAATAAAACTATCCTCTTTAGAAATTAAATAATTTTCTATAGGTATTGAATAGATCTTAATTCTCGTCGTGTATAATTATATTAAATCAGAATGACGTTAATAGATCAATGTGAAATCAAAACTGTATTTAATATTGTTGATGGGTTTTTGTGTGAAATTTGTAATCTAATGTACTACAAAGACATTTATTAGATAAATGTTTATAATATAATTCATCACATAAAACGTTTTTTTTTTGTCTTTCCTTTTTTTGTTTAAATATGTACGCAGATCCCCGTGTAGTAAACGCCTGCACTTTTCGCATGAAATTACAATGTAGGGTCCTAAATGCACATACATTTTATTTAACAAACTTTAAAATTTTCAGCCATTTTTTTTTCCAAAGGCCATTGCTCTATATAAAGAAAAGTCTATAATATTTTGCATGATTTTGTTTTCCTTAAGAACAATGGATTTTAAAGTAGTGCATGATAAGGCAATCTATTAAAAGAATGAATTGTATAATTAATTCATTGTATAATTGTCACGATTGTATTTTTGTGCACTTTTTGTTGATTTCATTCTATAAAGGTATGAAGTTTGTCAATACTTCAACAAACATTTCTTTTTCTATGTTGTACACTACTTTATTTTTATTCGCCGACATGCTACCCTTTAAAAAAAAAACTTGCGTGACTAATAGACTTGATCGTCAGGCCTGTAGGAAAGTAATTTCCGTTAGAGTAATAAACTAACCGGGATTTATTTTTATTAGCATACCTTACCAGATTTCTTAACGAAAAAAAAACATTAAAGAATAAGGGCGGGACCAGCAGCTAAAGCTGTATGCATAAGTACATCCCTGCACATTAACGAGTATAGATGACTTTCGACATAATCTTTCCCATGACTTCACTTATACCAATCACGACTAAAATACTGAATTAAAATACTGTTAGATTTTCCTGCCTTTGATAAGATGTTAGTTTTGTTCCACCTAGAGATATAACTCTCCTAAGAAAAAGGATTTCAACATATTCTGATTCATTTTTAAAACAATTTTACGTGTTAAAATGATGTGTGAATTTTTTTTTTGCTAAAAGCCGAGGAGTTTAAAGTACAATGTACATGTAGCAATAAGAGAAAAGTCTAGCAGGTCCACCAGTAATATTGATAGCAGGCTCAAAATCTAATTAAACCCCGAAAAGGAGGTCGCCCCGAGTTCAATTAGTAATTTAATCCCCCCCCCCCCCCAAAAAAAACACAACAATTTATTAGCAATGAATTATTAATCACCGAACTTTTCAATCATCACTATTGAAATAAAAAAAAACTGTTCTTGATAATCATATTATAATATTATTGTAGCTCATTTTCATGCCTTTTAGGATTCCTGTGGAAAGTTCACAATTAAAAAAAATGTGCTTTTAAAAATTTAACATCTTTTAGTGTGACATTATAAATTCATAATCATACATGTAACAGTTAAAAGAAGCGGGGAGGGGGGGGGGTACTTTCAGCAAGGACGGCCACTAAAAACAACCAAGACCCGAAACCCATATCCCGAAGGCAAATAAGTTGAGGTGTCGAGCAAGAAACATTTTTTTCTGCTCTTGCATCATGTATTTAACCGCTTTTTTTCTAAGTATACTAGGCCTACACATCATATCGGCAAAAATATTTAGGAGCCCCTCTTTTTATTCCATGAAAAGGGGAAAACTTAATTAAATTCTAATATAAGATCTCAACAGTTTATATTTCCCATCCTGCATCGCTCTGTAGGCGCTTTATTTCATTGGTCAATTTCCCGAGGCGCCATTTTTGGAGGATCGAGAAGGACGAAGAAGAAGGTGTAAGCAGCTGGTAAATGTGAAAAGTTACGATGGTTTCACCACCCAGTGTCTTTAAGACTGTGATAAATGCAATGGCCAACTATGAAGGAGTAGTGTACGTATATTTTTGTTAACTTTTTACGGTAAATAGTTGTAATATTTGGCAACAACAAATCTTCACTATCGGAGGCAACTTTTGTTCTGACGCCATTTTGAAAAGTTGGATACCTAAGTTTTAAATTGTTAAGTGTATAGATAATATAAGATAAGATATGTATTGCAGAGAGAAAGAGAGAGAGAGAGAGAAAAAAAATTGAGACTAACTTAGATTATGGAGGCCCCAAAGGCACCGTGCATGTGCATGCTGTATGTTGTAAAATGGCAACGTTTCGCCTTTTATCATGTTTACTAAAATGTATGCTCCATATGTATGTTCTCTCTCTATATATAAATGAATACTTTTCGGAATTAAAAAAAAAAAAATTTAACCCCGCTCAAATTATCCGGATGATAATAGTTTCACCGAGCATGGTTTCGTAGTTAAATTCAGACCGTAGAACATCCGGTTTGAATACATGTGTTTTCTGACTTTTCGGATACCAACTCTTGTTTTTTGGAACTTACGACTTATGGCAAGGTAAAAATTAAATATTTTTGGTTCAAAACTTTGATAAAAGCATCGATATTTTTACAAAAGTGTCTTCAATCTCAGCTTATCCGATTATTCATGAAGGATATCCCCATCAGAACAGTTGGAATAGATTGTAGGGAATAGCATAACCTTAATCATATGCATGACGATGATATGGAGGAAAAATATACATAAAAAAGTGAATGTAGGTGAAAGCCTGTCCACTTTTCTGAAGAGATTTTTTTTGTAATGTCTAACCTGTTGAGATGAAGATGTAAAAAAAGAAAAGCCTAATAGTGAATTAATATTGATAGTATGTCAAGAAATGCAAATGAATCATCAGCTTGAATTATCAGTTTTTTCACGATTATTGACCTGAGTAGGACAATGTATAGCGAATAATACATACTCTTTTCCATATCACATCCTAGCCCGAGACACCAATATCAGCCAGAGGGACAGAGGCCCTAGGGCTGATATTGGTCAAAGGTCTGATACAGGATGTGATGTGGAAAAGGGTATGTTTCATTATGTTTATTACAAACTTGGTAATAAAATACAGAACACTTCAAGTTGAGAAGATCAAGAAAATAAGTAAATAATCATGCACAATAAAACTACTTACATACATGTACACAGTATTGTCTTACTGAACAGATTTAGCTGTCATTAGGTCAAAATTGCAAATAACAAGATGCTTCTTATACATGTTATATCTGTATATACAGGTAACTCTTGATAGCTTGAACTTCGATTTCTCGGAAGTTCTTGATCGCTTGAAGTGAGTCTCCGGTCCAGATTTTTTCCACTATATAACTAAGCAGATTTGCTCTTGATTTCTCGAACTCCTGATCTCTCGAAACCCTTGATCCCTCGAAGTCAAAATGCAGTCCCCCTGTGCTGTGAATTTTACCCTTGATACCTCGAAGTGGCTGTGTGTATACCAAGTTATAATGTTCAAACTTTTGCCATAACTGTATATCTGTGTGTCTGTCTGAGTGTCTGTGGTCAACTTAAACCTTCACCATAACTTTAGAACAATACGAGATAGTGGCTTCATATTTAGTATGCACACTCCACTAATGAAGTGCTTTCAAATGGCAACAAGGGCAATGATTATGTGATCTTGACAGTGACCTGTAACAGTATGCAAAAAAAAATTGCATTTTCGAACTTTGTTGCTGTGTTTCACAAGTGCATCTTGTTTTTAGCTCTACCTGTCAGAAACCAGAAGAGCTTATGCGATAGTAATGCGTCCGTCCATCTGTCCAGCTGTCTGTCCGTCTGTCTGCAAACACTACTCCTCCTTAAATTTTAGTCTGATTTCAATATAACTTGGCACACAAGTAGACTATACTAAGATACATAATTCTGTGCATCAGTTTTTGATAAGTACAAACCAGTAGAGCTACAGTCCCGACAGAGACTTCTGGTTATTTTTTCTTCCATCCCGGTTGTTGCTAATGCTATTACCTAATTAGTTTAAATTAGAATGCAATAGTACCTGGACATAATTTATCATTTCAGAGAGAAGAAAACTGTGTGACTTTAAAAGAAAACCAGTGAGATAAAATTAAAGAAAATGTATGATGATTCAGGATGTGGTCATTTGGTAAGTGGTAATTCATTCATGATTAGTATGTATATGACAATTGCCTGTTAATTAAGAGTTCTTGATGGCTAAAGTCCAGATAAAGATCTTTCAATTGGTGTAATGTAATTAAAACAAATTGATGTTTAATGTATGATTAAAACTAAATTAGTATTGTATAATATAATGAAAACTAATTATACATGTGTTCATTGAAATAAAATTACCCGGGTACATTTCAATTTTTATATATTTGCAACAAATTGCAGTCACCATGCCTCACTTAGAATTTTATAGTCTAAAGAATAATTTATTTTTGATTTTTTTTATTAGACTGTAGCATTTCCATTATTCCATTAAATATGCAATAAACAATTTAAGCTGCAGATGGATATTTGTTAAGTTCTAACACTGCCAGTTTAGAATTATATGATGTATTATTTGTTATAATTAATTTTTACACTGTAAGTCTCTTAGAGATGTATGTACAATATTTTAAACATGATAAGAAATGGAAATTAGATCATTGAAATCTGTGTCAATCTGTTAATAAAGGTTATCTGATTTTCTTGCACCTTAACCAATTTATGATTATTGAACAATATATTTGACGGGCGTATCATGCTGTGACGGGGCACTTTATTATATACATTTGTGGTATCTCTCCCATTGAAGTTTATAAACTTGTTATTTATTTCTTAAATAAACTGAGCGTACATGCAATACTGGTATAAAATTACTCATAAGATACATGTATACTTAAACCATGATAAAATCATATGTGTCCAATGCAGCATATGATAAATCATTAACATACAAGTACATGTGTATATATACTGTAAAACATATATATTGCATTATTTTTAGGTCCTGTTCTGTGGATGCCCTTAGACAGTGTCTACCCATCACTCCATCTGAAATCACTTGTTCTGTGCATATTTCTCTCTCAAACTTAAACTACAGAGAGCCTGTGGATAGAGGATGAAGAGTGACCTTGGACTAATTTTCTAGATCAAAGGTCAGTATCAAAATCTACTGTATATCTTTTTTTTAAAATCGTAGTCTAAAGTGTATTTCTCCCCTTGTGTAATCTAGCTTTTGTGCAATGGGGTGGAGGGTCTGCAATGATCTTCAACCAATTTCTAGGTCGAATATCAAAATTTAAAAAAAAATCTCTCCCTAATATTTTTGTTATTAGCTCACCTGAGCCGAAGGCTCAAGTGAGCTTTTCTGATCACATTTTGTCCGTCGTCCGTCCGTCTGTCCGTCTGTCTGTCCGTCTGTAAACTTTTCACATTTTCGACTTCTTCTCAAGAACCACTCGGCCAATTTTGACCAAACTTGGTACAAAGCATCCTTGGGTAAAGGGGAATTTAAATTGTTAAAATGAAGGGACATATCCCCTCGCAAGGGGAGATAATCAAGAAAAGACAAAAATAGGGTGGGGTCATTAAAAAATCTTCTTCTCAAGAACCACTGGGCCAAAAAAGCTGAAACTTATGTGGAAGCATCCTGGGGTAGTGTAGATTCTAAATTGTTCAAATCATGACCCCCGGGGGAAGGGCGGGGCCACAATGGGGAATCAAAGTTTTACATAGAAATATATAGGAAAAATATTTGAAAATCTTCTTCTCAAGAACCACTGGGCCAGAAAAGCTGAAACTTATGTGGAAGCATCCTGGTATAGTGTAGATTCTAAATTGTTCAAATCATGACCCCCAGGGAAAGGGCGGGGCCACAATGGGGAATCAAAGTTTTACATAGAAATATATAGGAAAAATCTTTGAAAATCTTCTTCTCAAGAACCACTGGGCCAGAAAAGCTGAAACTTATGTGGAAGCATCCTGGTATAATGTAGATTCTAAATTGTTCAAATAATGACCCCCGGGGGATGGGTGGGGCCAAAATGGGGAATCAAAGTTTTATAAAGAAATATATAGGAAAAATCTTTGAAATCTTCTTCTCAAGAACCACTGGGCCAGAAAAGCTGAAACTTATGTGGAAGCATCCTGGTATAGTGTAGATTCTAAATTGTTCAAATAATGACCCCCAGGGAAAGGGTGGGGCCACAATGGGGTATCAAATTTTTACATAGAAATATATAGGAAAAATCTTTGAAAATCTTCTTCTCAAGAACCACTGGGCAAGAAAATCTGAAACTTATGTGGAAGCATCCTGGTATAATGTAGATTCTAAATTGTTCAATTAATGACCCCCGGGGGATGGGTGGGGCCACAATGGGGAATCAAAGTTTTATATAGAAATATATAGGAAAAATCTTTGAAAATCTTCTTCTCAAGAACGACTGGGCCAGAAAAAGTGAAGCTTATGTGGAAGCATTCTGGGGTAGTGTAAATTCTAAATTGTAGGAATGATGACCCCCGGGGGAAGGGCGGGGCCATTATAGGGAATCAAAGTTTTACATAGAAATATATAGGAAAAATCTTTGAAAATCTTCTTCTCGGGAACCACTGGGCCAAAAAAGCTGAAACATATGTGCCCATGGAAGGATCATGTGGTAGTGTAGATTTCAAAATGTCTAAATTATGATCAGTGGGGTAGGGTGGGGATGCATTGTGTATAACAAGGGTGAAATCTGGTAAAGAACAGAATGGTCAAAGCTTCTCAGGTGAGCGATGTGGCCCATGGGCCTCTTGTTATAAAGGGTACTGTATACAGGGAAATTTTCGCCCCCGTTTTATTTTCGCCCCTTTCGCCCTACCCTCATATGGGCGAGTTTAAAACGGGGCGAGTTCAAAGAATACAGTAATATTTCGTTAACAATAACTATGACTGGGCGAATTTAAAACGGGGTAAAATTGTTTTCAAGTGTGAATGGGTGAAAATAAGACGGGGCGAAAATAACCCTATATACAGTATGTTTTCTCTCAAACTAATCAAACTTAAAGCAGGGTTCTTAGTATGAGATACATGTAGTAATATATTCTCAATGACATAATAAGGCTGAAAACATTATTTATATTATGTTATTTTTTTTCACTTATCATAAAGCATTAAATATTAAAGAGATACATTAAATGCTGAAATCATATGTATCATGGTCATGGAAAGTAATTATTGATATTGGTATATTAAAGGACATTGACTGATCTTTCAGATTTCTAAGTTATATTCAAACATTATAATTCTGACATCATATAATAATTTTGTATGAATATTGCAGATCATAGGTGATGTGAAGAAAACCAGGAAACTGATGTTGAAAGAAGTACTTAATGACCCTTATGAATGGACTTAAATGTGAAATACTGTTCCATTGTTTATCTAAGATATATGAATTTATTTAATATTTTGATATCATTGAAAAATTCAGTTACAGTTTTTGTACATCAAATGAATTATTAAACATATAAAATAGTAATGCTTTTTTCTTTTACATGTAATAAATTTTTTTGATAAATTTTTAAAAGAATACGCATTATTTCACATTGCTTCCTTTAGAAAAGTTAGGGAATCTTGAAGTTTCCCAGTAATTTCCACCAGGAATGGGACTCCACATAATTCCACCAAGTTTCCGCCACACAGAAAGTGCTACACAAGTTCCATATAGTTTCCTGAGTCAAAGAAACTTCAGGAATCATAAGGTTTCACGAGCTTCCATGTAGTTTCCCATAAAAGAAAACCTTAAGATTCCATCAAGTTTCCATTCCACGGAAACCACTACGCTCATATTCCATACGGTTTCCTGAGTCAAGGAAACTTTAGAAATCGTGAGGTTTCCCGAGCTTCCATGTAGTTTCCCGTATAAGGAAACCTAAAGATTCCATCAAGTTTCCATTCCACGGAAACCACTACGCTCCGATTCCATATGGTTTCCTGAATCAAGGAAACTTTGGGAATCATGAGGTTTCCCGAGCTTCCATGTAGTTTCCCGTAAAAGGAAACCTAAAGATTCCACCAAGTTTCCATTCCACGGAAACCCCCTACGCTCCGATTCCATCAAGTTTCCTGATTCTGGAAACCAGTGGAATCTTCAGGTTTCCCATTACGGGAAACTACATGGATATTCGGGAAACTTCAGGTTTACAGAGGTTTCCGTGGTTCGGGATACCTTATGGAATCGGAGCGTAGGGGGTTTCCGTGTCACGGAAACTTGGCGGAATAACCTAGCATCCGCTACGGAAACCACTGGGAAACATGATGTAAACTTGAGATTTCCATGTGGTTTCCATAAAGTTTCCTGAGATGGGAAACCACTTTTTTCACCCAGTGACGCGTACATGTATGAATTAACGAGGCCGAGTCTAATTATTTCTGCCCTAGGGATTTTCATAATTTTTTGATAATTAATTTTTACTGTTATGTTTATTGTTTTAGGATTAAAATATCGAATGTTTACCACCCCGTTTTTTTAGTGGGCCAGCTTAAATGTTGTCAAACTTTACTATTGGACCCTATGGGAATTTGTTGGAAAGTCGCCAAATTATTACATTTTTTCAAGATTTTTGTACTTCTGTCCAAGGGATTTCTTTTTCATTCAAGTAAATGAAAGTAAATGTAAAAAGTCACCAAATTGTGATATTTCAAAAAAGTTCACCATCTCAATTGGTCTAGGTCGAAGCCAAATACCTCTTAAATTGCTATATTACGGTAAAAGTACATATCTATGGTGACGTTGTTAGAGTCATTTCAACGTTCTTTTTCCAATAATTGTCGTAAAATCACATTTTCAGATCAGTAGGAGTTACAAATAATGTTAATTTTGTATTAAAATTAAATAAGTTAATGACTGCATGAAATTAAAAAGCTGCGCAAAGTGATGCGCACTCGAATTAGACTCGGCCTCGTTAAACTGAACATGAACATTTAATCACAATTTTCGGGTGTATTAATAATTTAATTTCTTTTACTATTTCATTTACTATTTCCCATATTCCTTTTTTATACAGAAAATTAAATGTGAATTAATTATTTTCCACCAGTAAGAATTAGCTTTTAATAAATCCCATCATTATATAACCAATTTTCATACTATCAGGATACTTAAAAGGAATTTGGGGGGCTTTTTAGAAAATTCTTTGTTAATTTTGCCACGTATTAATTTTCAGTCATGATTATTCCTACTGACATGCCAATTTAATTGTTGTTAATTTCTCTATCTCTATAATACTCAGTTTTAAGTGTTTTATTTCAGCATTGAATTCAAATTTTTGGATGTCTTCGTTACTATAACACCTGGCCGTGCCGACAAATTGAATACCGCGCGTTAGCGCAGTATGATAATTTGTCGACACGGCCAGGTGTGTTATAGGACCGAAGACAGCCAAAAATTTGAAGTCAATGCTTTTATTTACATTCTCTAATTTTCCTTCTTCATAATTGCTTATTTCATTTATCTTAAGGGGATGAAAGACCTTTAGCTGAAAAAATACCTGTCATTCAATTTTTTTCATATTTTGTATATCTTTTATTTAATATGCCCCACATACCTTATAGCAGATATATTAATAGGTTTCTAGATTTATTTCTGAGATATTGAGTGACAAATACTATGTCCCACAGTGTCTGAGTGAAGTTTTGATTCTCCGTATTTCTGGGCCCATTACTCGGTCCATAATGGAATTTTTTCAGCATAGATAAATAATATGTCAGCGAACATGTGTCTTTTAAAATATTTCAGAGTATAAATAGGGTTAAAAATTCGAAAAAACAAGATTCTTTCTTCACACCGCATCTGGAGACGGAAAATTACGTTCTTTTTAAGATAACTTAATCAACAAAAAATTCATTTACAAAAAATCCTATCATTCAATATTTGAAAAATAACGTCGAAATGCAAGTTCGTCATTTTATAGATTAGCTGTAGAAATATCGATTGGTGAAGCTGAGCTCAATATTGCACAGGGCATAGTTAAACAAGACATGAGCATGAGAAAAACGTGTCATGTTTACATTTCTCGAGTACGGGAAAACCCTTCTGTGACGTCACACATTTGCGAAATATGCTAAGTAAGACATAACTACAATAGATTTCCGTCAATAACCATGTAAAAATATTTTTTGTGTTCTGTAATTCATAAAATATCCCAGCATGTACTGATCATGACCCGTTTTTAGGCGGAAGCCACCTTATGCATTTGCTTTGATGACCTTTTTACCTTTCAAGATGTCAAAGGTCAATTTTGCCCTCTGACATGGTACTCCAAACGGATGTATCTTAAACTAAGGGCATACAACCGCTACTCATATTCGACACCATTCCCAATCTTTATCGTTATTATCATATCAAAAGCGTGTGTTATGACTGAATTTATTTTAACAATTTATTTCGATTAATATAAAACTAAGTCCAATAAAATAATAGCCTAATAATAGAACTAATAGTTACTTTAGTACTCCTGATACGTTTCACGTTTGAGAGAAGAACGAACGACATCTCTATATGTTTAAAACAGAAACAAATGGGGTTCAACATCACGGGGTCCTGAAGCCATGTTTAGAAATATAACGAGAGACAAAATAGTTCAAGTAGGTATAATTATATCAAAGAATTATGACAGGTACATGTATATACAGCTACACTGATGAAGTAATCTTTTAAATAATATATTGGAAAATAGAAGAAAAGAGGTATGTAGTTCCTTTTATCAATAATATTGTTTATTTATACTTAAGTACTACTTCCGCGTAATAATCTAACATGAGACAATTCAGCGTGAAATTATTGTAAACAAACCCAAATGGAGTACAAATGAGTTACAATGGAAGTGATAGGCTTCTCTTCAACATTAGCAAGGTAACCCACGTTGTCTTGGATTAGCTTATCTTTCATTGTAACCTTTATCTTTCTTGTTTTAACTTGAAAATGTCGTCTCCCTACGCAGAAATGCTTTAGCCTAATTAGATATCGTAACATGATACCTGTTATGGTCGGTCTTGATCGAATGAACTGATACTCTATCTGCATATAATTTCATGCATGCCTGGGAGAAATTATTTTAGGAATTATCATGCCGAGTCTACGTAAACATTTATTTATCCTGCATTTAATGTAAATATGTTGAAGGATCGACCAAAGCTATGAAAATTGGACAGTTTCAAAGACACAATTTTAGTCAGTAAAGATGTGTCCCTACGGAGGCAGCTAACAAAGAGCAGAATAAGTAACATTGCATGGTGAATATGTAGAAATTTTGCTCTGTGTCATCTCTAAATACGAAAAACTCAACTCAGCACAACCGCAGTCAGATATACTATTCTAATGATTCTGAAGGTGAGTACATGTATATTTAAATCAATTCAATATATTTCAAGTGGGATAAGTGTCATAAGTTATGTTATTTCCTATCTAGCTTGTAACACGAGCTTTGATTGGTTACAAAGTCGGGTGTAAATATCCGTGCACCCGACTTGAGCCGGGTGTAAATAAAACGTGACGTCACAATGCATACATTCTCTATGATAGTTATCTAATCGATAGATTGAGACACACTCTGATGTTTACAAAGCATTTTTATGGGTATAAAGGAAATAAATTCGTTATCCAGGTTCAATCAAGGGTGTACGGGGATTTACCCCGGGTTGTATTCCATACACCCTTCGGCCTTCGGCCTCAGGGTGTATGGAATAAAACCCGGGGTAAATCCCCGTACACCCTTGATTGAACCTGGATAACTAATAATACATATATGTTTGATAGTATAACGAATGTTCTTGTTATTTTAATAATGACAAAAATGAACCGAATATTTTTTGAAAGTATAATGTGATATTTTGTATTTTTGTTAAATTGACTTATTTTCTTTTCAATTTTTCAAATACACCAAAGTAACTTTTATCAGTCCATGTCTTGTATATCTTATATACATTTAATCTGTTTTCTTGCAAATGCATGATTATGAACAATAGTAGGCTTTTGAGAGAGTGAGAAAGTGAGAGAGTAAGAGAGATAGAGAGAAATACAGGAAAATATTATTTAGGGAAGTCAAATCGGTCAAATCATTTGATAATTAATAATCGCTTAATCACACTTTTCCCCGATTGAATACTCGGTTACTAACGGTAAAATGTAGATAAAAGTTTGTTCTTGAGCCTAGTTAATCTCTATTAACCCACAAAAATAAACAAATAAACAATAATTCGATTGGAAATTATTTTTTAGTAGCTAAGTTATTTAACAAATAAAAAGCAAAAAATTATGCACAATTAATACACCCAAAATTACAAAAGGTTGTTTTGGATCTACTTGATCAACGCAAAAGCAGGACAAACTGTTGTGCAGGTTTGTTTATTCAACTAGCGAAAGTTCAAAGATAAGAAATGGTTGTTGAAGGGGTTTCATGCTCATAGTCTTATAATAATTTATTCATTGGTTGTATCCAGTTTATACACTAAACCTAAT